TAGTTGGTTCTTAGTGTTGGCCCATATCTGATAAAAGTTTACCTTGACAAAAGCTCTGCTTTCCTTCTTTTAACCCTGAAATGAAAGAACAGGCACACAGCCCAGATTTATTCACATCTCCCCATGGAAGCTATAGGAATGTTGACCTTACGAAAGCCCAAGCAAAAGAAAGGCATTTCTCTGATGGGCTCTGAGCCCATCATTCCTGGGCTGAGTGGCCTGAGAGAACCAACAAACTGCTGCTGAGTGGCCTGAGAAGAACCAACAAACATGAAAATTAAGTGACTTTGTGTTTATATATTTTTTTTCTTCCTGCTTTGTCATGCAGCAGGTGTTAACCTCTGTGATGCACTGGTGGCCAAGTGGGGTAGCCCTGCTCAACTGAGGATGGCAGGGCAAGACCAGGTCACGCCAATCTAGGCAGACGCCCTGGGCTGAAATCCATTTCTCCTTTCTCCGACGGCTGACTCCTTGCGCTTGCTGTGACAAACATAGTCAATAACAGTCATGGGTGAGCTTGTGAAAGTCGAGTTTGCCCCAATTTGCAAGGGAAAAACAATGGCATTTCCCTTTCTCTCTGAACTACATCTGTCACTTATTCAACAAATATTTATCTATTTAATGCTCATTGTGGACCAGATAGTACATTAAGTGCTAGGGTTACCAAGACCAATAGCACTGTCCTTGAGAATTTGACAGTATAAGTTAGAGATTAAAGGATAAAATATTTCCTGAACACCCTTGAGAACACAAGCTCTGCCTGATGTAGAACTGTAAGGACTTGGATCTTACTTCAGTGTTAAACAGGCTCAGAGGTTGGGAGTGCAAGTCCAAAGCTATAGCACTAGATACTCCATGAAGATAAAGATCTTTAGTTTTATACTCTAGCCTAAGTCCAGAAAAGGGCCTTCCCAACAAACATTTATTGGCTATTGAATAAGCAAGGGGCTGGAATCATCAAGACTGCTGACTTAGGCATATGTAAATCTTTTCTACTTGATTCCTAGCACCACCTTGTCTAGTTTTTCCTTGATAAGTGTTCCCACAAAGAGCAGCCCATTCCATCTGTGACCAGTTACACCAGGAAATCCTTCCTCACACTCTACAGAAACTTACCCCCCACCTCTGTGCCCCCAATTTCCACCAACAGATGAGCATTTGGCCCTCTGGAACTCTTTGGAACACACAGAACAATTCCTTCCACTGCTACATTTTATTCTGAAATTTTCAGATCTATGGAAAAGCTGAAGGAACTGTACAAGTAACATCCATATACTTTTTTTTTAAAGATTTATTTATTTATTTATTTATACAAGCACTGGGTACAGTCAGAAATGCGGGAGGGTGAGAGAATTCACCAGAGTCAGAGTGGAGAGCAAAGCAGGCAGACTGATGAAATACACTGCTGAGGGGAGCAGCGAGCGGCAGGAGAGGTCTGCGCGCCATGTGGGACCCTCACCCAGTGGTGGGGGATCAAACTGGCGCTGCAGAGGCTGTGGGCAGCTTTGCAATCCAGTGCTCAACCACTGCGCCACCAGGGAGGCCCATCCATATACTTTTAACCTGCTCACCAATTATTAATATTTTACTACATATGCTGTTTTAGCTCTTGCTTTTTTATTTCTTGTGAATTATTTAATGGTATATTGCAAACATAAGACTACCTTATCCCTAATACTTTGGCATGTATCTCCTAAGAGGAGACTGCCACAATAACATTACTATTAAAATCCCAAAGAAAGTAATGCCAATAAAATTCATGTTTAAAATTTTTTAATTATCCACAAAGTATTTTCTTTTTCTTTTTTTTTTTTTAAATGCTCAGTGTTTTTTTTGTTTTGTTTTGTTTTTTTAAAGATTTATTTATTTATTTATACAAGCACTGGGCACAATCAGAAGTACGGGAGGGCGAGAGAACTCACCAGAGCCAGAGCGGGGAGCAGAGCAGGCAGAAGGACCGAAGTACACTGCTGAGGGGAGCAGCGGGCAGCAGGAGAGGTCTGTGCGCCATGTGGGACCCTTCTCCGGTGGCCGGGGAGCAGCCGGGGATCGAACCGGTGCTGCAGAGGCTGCGGGCAGCTTCGCAACCCAGTGCTCAACCGCTGCGCCACCGGGGAGGCCCCCACAAAATATTTTCTTAATCTTGGATTTTTTTAATTCCAAATTTTAAAACTTCTGTTTTTTAAAACCTAGAATATTTTTCTAGTCTTTTTATATTTTTCATGACATTATCTTTTTTGCCATCACTGTTACAGGTGATATCTATGTGTAGAGCTAACGCAATATTTGGAGGCACACATATTATAGGACTGTCTCAATAGGGATAACATATAAGTTGATCACTTGATTAAAAATGTGATCACCAGATTTCTTCACTGTAGGTTTATTGTCCCCTTGGTAATGAAAAAATTTAAAAACATGATAAGGCGGTGTAAGTATCTGTTCTCCCAACAACTTTTTACTCAAGCTTTAGGAGTCACTGATGAGCCTTGTTTGAATCAACAATTAACACTGAGAATTATAAGATGATGATTTTCTGATTCTATAATTTTCTTTTACATTAATTTTAAAATATTTAATGTGTTAGTATTATCAATTTAAATTTTTTTGATACGCAAACTGTCACAGATTTGGCCAGTGTGCAGTCTCTTGAGGTTGTCTCCTAGGTCTTTCTGACATTACTCCATTAGTTGAGTATTTCCTATCTTTCTGTTACATCAGCATTCCAGGCTCACGCATACTTTCCCCTCCCCCAGACTGGGAACCAGACATTCTTTTAAGTATCTCTGGGGAATAGCATTTATGAGAAAAAATTTTGCTAGGCTATTCTACATGCCAGCCCTTCAGGTGTTGAAGTCAGTGATCTCAGCCCCATACACTTCCCCCATATAGCTAGATTCGCCCAATTCCTTGCATAGATCTTCCTGTGATTTAGTTTTGCTTTTCTCTTCCATTTTCCCTGTCCCAATTCAGCTGCTACCTTCCAGTCCAGTGGTTCCCAACCTGGCTATACATCTGAATTACTGGAGACTTCGTATCAGATTTTCAGGACTCATTCACTCCATCTGTACTGAATTAGAACCTCCAGAGTGGAGTATGGGGCTCCATTATGGTTTTTTTTTTCATGTTTTATTTATTTATTTGTTTATTTGTTTATACATGCACTGGTTACAGTCAGAAGTGTGGAAGGGTGAGAGAATTCACCAGAGCCAGAGCGGGGAGCAGAGCAGGCAGAAGGACCGAAGTACACTGCTGAGGGGAGCAGCGGGCCGGCAGGAGAGGTCTGCGCGCCATGTGGGACCCTCCTCCGGTGGCCGGGGAGCAGCCGGGGATCGAACTGGCACCGCAGAGGCCGAGGGCAGCTTCGCAACCCAGCGCTCAACCGCTGCGCCACCATGGAGGAGGCCCTGTTTTGTTTTTTTTTTTAAGATGTCCAGTTGATGCTTGAATTTTCAAAACCTTGTAGATCTAGAATTGGATGCCAAATGTGTGTTCTATAGTCATTACTTTTGTTATACTAACATTATAGTTCTTTCTATGTAATTAAACCAATACTGATAGTTTTAGAGGGAATAGAGGAAATGATGTAAGATTTTGACTCCTGTCAATTTATGATGAATTGAAACCTTAAGACATATTCAAGCATATGGTTAAGCAAAATCTACCTTTATCTTTTTAAGTTTCATCGATCTTTCATATTTAAATGGAAGGATAAGGATTTATAATCCTCTCAATTAAAACTTATCATTAATTAAAATTTACACTACTTAATTCAGTCAAACCTTCATGTATGTCAAGGATCTTAATAGACCATGATTTTATCACCTTAAATATATTTTACCCTTCCAACTTTGTTAACTCGCAGCTAAGCAAGCTATCAAAATCGTCTTGCACATTTTTTTCTATTCTTTTTAGTTTAAAAATTCAATCTTATAAACATTTCTGTGACTGTGGTGGTAGTTTTATGTGTTCGTCAAAACTCATATACTAAAGAGTGAATTTTAATGTATGTGAATCATAATGAGAAAAAAAAAAAATCAGTCTTCCATTCCAAATACTCAACTACATTTTTCTCCCAGATTAGGTCTTACTAACTTATTTTGGCTGATGATTCCTGCAAATCACATTGCTATTCTAACTAGTAGAGTTGTCACACTTGTATTTTTACTCATTTGAGATCAATGCATTCTAGGGTTTAGACACCTTGGAAAAGCATCAGGACTTGGCTTACGAGGTCAGTCAATCTAGTGAATGCATTGTTATCATAATGTATCAGTTCCCACAACACAAAATGCAGAGAAGAAAATAATACATTGTGGAATAAGAATATCAGAAAAATTACAATCCTTCACAGATCTAGGTTAAAAATGTCAAATATCCTTTTGTTGCTTAGAATTAGAAGTTAGACAATCTGTAAATTTGACACGGATCTAGTGAAACACACTCAGACAGTGTGGGTGACAGGCTGAAGTGATATAACCTTTCTGGCCATTTGAAACTAATGAACTTAAGGGAATCCAATTGGAATACTATCTACTGGTATATCTGTATAGATGTTGTATATACACACACAGTTGGCAGTAGCCAGTCAACCGTAGCAGACAGAAGACTAATTTTTGTTTTCTAAAATTTTGTATTTTTAAAAATATTTGCAAAACTTCTACAGCAAATTTATGTTTACTTTTATAGTTAGAAAAAAAGCAACACACATTTATAAAATCACTGATTAAAGAAAGTGGAAGAAAAAAATAGGGATAAAATAATTTTGGGCAAAGATTTACCTGTCACTTCTAGGAATTCTCAAAATAAGTCTTCCAATTAGGCAATTTTATGGAGAATTTTTGCTCAGACAATGAATGTATTTCCTCTTGAAGCTTCTTTGAATGCCACCAAAGATTCAAACACACAGTAACAATAACAGGGATACTCTTACTGCCTCCAAATTTTTTTTTTCAAATGAGAAGTTTTATACAGAATTGTTAACTATTATAAATTCATACCTTGAAGAACGATGCTCTGGTTTATTTCGTTCGTTGCGATCTGTGAAAGAAAGAAGATAGCTACATGTCACAATGCTCTTTAGAAGCCCTGGAAAAGAAGTTCTTAAATACCAGCTGCCATCCCATTAGATGCCACAATGCACTGCTCAAAGGTTCCTGTGTCTTCCCCACTAGGTCTCTTCTCAAGAGTTGAGAGGATCTGTCTGACAAGGAGGTAGGACAACCATAAGAAGGACAACCAAAGAAGGACAACCAAACAAAGGTTTTGTGGTTTGTTAAAATCATCTAGTTGAAAAATATTTTATTACATGTATTATTTTGTTTTCAAAGATCTTTACAGTTTTAAGCACTTGCTAAAACCAAAACAAATCTAGCTAAGGGAAGAAAGTTAGGAGACTGAAAAGCCACAAATTACTCAACTCAAAAAAATCATTCCATGAATCATGGCTGGCAAAGGCTTCTAACAAGATGGGGAGGGGAAAAATGAGCAGTCAGCTACAGCAACATCTGCAAATACACTAAGACCAGTACAGCCTCATCCTTAACTCTCTATCATCCAACATATTTCAGAAGCTGGATTTTAGTGTTTCACAAATAATTAGATTTATTGTGCTACAGGGGGGTGCTTCTAAACGAGGGGCAATTCTGTGTTCCTTCATCCCCCACCCCCTGCCAGGGGATATTTAGCAATGTCTGGTGACATTTTTGATTATCACAATGGATGATGAAAGAGCTACTGGCATCTGCTGGTTAGAAACCAGTAGATGCTAAACATCCTACAATTGTACACTACGTCAAAGAATTATCTTGCCCAAAATGTCAACAGTGCTGAGATTGAGAAACCCTGCTAAAGGGTAAGAGACAGAAGCAAAGTAGCTTCAAGTTTTCTGAGGTATCTTTTTGTTTTGTTCTAAAATGTTAATCAACTTAAAGATTGTCACATACAAGAGAAAGAAGCACACAACCCATACCCTGTCTTTTTTGACTCTTAGTAATGACATTTTACAACATACGCTTAAAAATAAATACATGGAGTAAAAGAAAAAGAAAGAAACAAACTAACAAAAGAAGGCGACAATATCTGATGCAATGATGTTTTAATCCTATGCAGTATTATCAAAATACAATTTTCTAAAGCTTCTTACGAATTAATACTAACAAGACAGAATATAATGACAAAGCTTAGAAAAGACTTTCTTTTTTTCTCCTTTATTTTTTTGCTGGTGGAGCAGCATTTTCATTGTTAAAGATAATGAAAACATACTCTAAAACTTTTAGAGAATAATGGAAGAAAAGGTATGATTTACAGTCAAATATATATGTGTGTGTGTATATATATCAATTCTTTCTGAATGGGTTCATAACAAAAAAGATTTTAAAAGTTAATCCAAAGAGCTAATACACAGCAAAACACTGTTCTCTGAAAGACTAACTAGTAGGAAGAGTTACAATAGAACATGTTTATTTAGATATAAATGCTCCAAAAATGCACAATAATAATCAGCTTCTGGTTCCGATTTCTCTACATAGTGAATTAGTATTACTGTCGCTTTTAAAACTTGCTTTAATTTAACTTGATTTTACCACTCCCTCAACAAAAATATGGCTTTTCACTTGTTAGGTACTAAAAGTTTAAAATCATAGCAATATAGCACACATTTTAATCATTTTTCAATAGTTCCTCTTCAGCTTTAAGCTTGCTAGTTTTGCTAACAAGAAAGTAAAGTACAATGAATGTCTCAAAGTAAAACTAGAGACTTGATGCAGATCAGCTATCCTCACACAGCAAAGCAACAGCTCTTACCTGTGAGTACGGATGAACTAGAAGTCAGCCGGTGACACCCTCAGATGTGGCTGGGATCCTAGTTTCCTACAGTGTACTAGGCATGCACTAGCGAGTTCCCCTACAGACCGTCCTAGTGCTACGACACACAGGAGGAGGGGAGAAACAGAGTCACAATCCATGTAAACAAGACTCAACATCCCAGGCTTTCCTCCCGGCCTGTTCCGATTGGAGGGTGTGCTCTGACCAGGCTGCACAGCTTGGAATGCAGCCACTCAGGAAGTGAATGGCTCATAGCTCTCCCTCATTCTTGGTTGAAACAGGAAATTCTACACTCATTTTTATACTTTCTGTTTTATGAAAATACAAATGCCTGCCCACAGTATTTCTCTACAGAACCAGTGATTAAAATTCAAGGAAATAACTTGACAATCTGCTGGAAGGTATTTTAAATACTTACTCCCCAAATTCACTCATTCATTTATTTAAATGTGATATATTCCTAAGTAAATATGCAAAAACAGTGTTTATAACATGTTACACCTACGACCCATATATTGAATAATTTGGGGTAAGGGCTAACTATCATTACATTCCCCACTAGACTTACATTCCCCATCCCCCACCTCTTGGGGCTAGAAAACAAATTAAAACATTTGAACTTATTTTCAAAGTATACAAATAATTGGATTTCACATTTTAACACATGCCATCTCTTAGCTTGAAAACATATAAATATGTAGTATGTGTATGTTCTAGACCTGTGTCTATATATACTTTTATGACAGCAAAGACCATTGTCAAGAAATACATTACTGTTAATGCTGCATTTCTGGCAAAATAACAGTGGCTATTATTTTGGTGCAAAAGCCAAAGTGGAAAATGACAAAGTCCTGATGGCAGATTCAGGATCTGAATCTTGTCAACAATAATACAACATCTGGATAAAATCCCTTCAGAAAAATGAGAACAGATCTATAGCAAACACAGAAACATCATCTTGACTACACATAGTGCTTTAAGTGGATGGCCTTTATTTATTTCAAATCAAATACTCTTTGGTACAGTCCCCTTCCCCAACTTTTTTTCAGAGTCTCTAACTTAAATAATTATCAGAGAATATGCCTACAAAGGTTTCCTGAACTTTTATGAACTTAGAAATCATAAATAACTTAATTAGCCCAACATCTCACCATTTCTAAGGAAAAGTTATTAAGAACAAGAATACTCTAAAATTTATTTCAAAATGATGCATATTTGCCATAGATAATACACTAAAACTCCAGGGTCCAACAAGCAGAGAAGATGATTTGAATCATTCAAAGATCAACAGCATATTCTCAGGGTGAAAGTCAGCTTGGCTGAAAGGTTATACAAAAGGATTGGTTCTGCATGTGTCACAGATGATGGGGGTTGGGGAAGCGTGTACACTTGGCATTTCCGGTCCATTCTCATCCATGTCCCCTGATTAATAAAGCCAATTGAGGAAACGTAAGAATACCCTGAGAGCAAAACAAAGGCAGAACTGGTCCCAAGGGTACTGATGGCTGTATGTGTGTAAATGCTGTGGGGAGATGTGAAGGAAGTAGTGGGTAGACCCCACACACGTCCAGGGGACCTAAAATCAGGGGAGTTGGTAGAAGGCTACTACAGGTCAGTACTCTATGTGAGAATTCCAGATTACCCCCAATTTTCCAGCTATGGTGACACCTTGTTCCAAGTAACCTGGACAAGCATGATTCCAATGTTTATATATTAGATGATATACAATATGCGCAGAAACAAGCCCCTGTTGTAGCAGGGACAGCTTTTGGGGGGATACCCAGACAAAGTCTACCATATGTAACCATTCTGGGTGATTCTGAATCTAATACTATACCACTTTGAAGTAAAGATGACAAAGATGCAAATGTCATCTTCTGCATTAATTGAAGCTAAGAATGGAATATTCTGAACTTATTAATATCTCTAGTAAGACATTCAGGCTTTGCAGATTTGACTTTAATCACCTAACCAAAGAAACAAATGTCATTGAGTAGGAACTTACATGACAAATTCAGGTGATCAGTGAAAGGTGCTAAACCCTCCTGTGAAATGGGTAAGACTTGATCTATGTGAATGCACACACACTGACATGCTCACAACAGAGTAGGAGGTGGTATGAACAGAGTCTGAAACCTCATATCAGAGTCTCCCTTTGCAGTATTGTCTATGAAAGGATTCTGTAGTGTACTTCTAAGTATTACAATCAAGGTCCAGCTGGGAGTTTATGTTATTTTGAAAGCATGGATCAATGCTACATAAATCCTTATGCCATTCAGTATTAATGGAAGGAATGACACATTCTGAAAAAAGAATTCCTTGCAGCAACAAGATCATTACCTCTTTACTTATGAGAAACAGAATAAATAAAGCAATGAGTCTGCCCACTAGAATATAGCAGCTATTCAGGGTACAAGAATCTTACTTTGGTGACTTTTTAAAAGACAGCAAAACTAGTTCCACTCAAATAGAACCTGGATGGTATTTCACAGAAGCTTTTCTAAAATTGTTAAATGGCTCATATTTATGCAGAAAATACTGAAAATACATATATACTTGAAAAGAAGCCAGTGTTCATTCTACAAAATTAGTAGCATCAACTAATACACACCCACTTCCTCTTTCGAATTCCACTTCACCACCCTTTTCAGGTGTATCTCCAAGCTGACTTTAGTTACCTTTGAGACTCCCAAAGTGACTAATTTATTGCTCTTAAATGGTAGATTTTCAAATATATATATATTCATTGTTGTTGAACATGAGTAAGATATATACTACTTTCTTGGTCAAAAAAAAACAACAAGAAGGAAAAAAACCCCAATAAGAAATTGGAGAACTCACTCCTAGTCACCACTGCAGGAGGGAAACGAGGCATCTATACTCTAAAGAAGTGTACCTGACTGCTGCCCACGCTTCTATGGCAAGGGGAAAAGTTTGGTCTACAACACTGTCAATACTGACACCTTTCATTAATTCTAATTATAAAGTGTCTAAACTCATTAAAACACAGTGCTCTAATCACACAGGGAGAGAGAAATTAGATTTGGAAGGGAATCTTTTTCGACCCAGGGGGCCGCTTCAATAAGGAAGCAGACTCTCCTTCTCAGATCCACTGAGCTTACTTGCATTTTAGATTCGGATAAGCTCTTGTTTGGATTGTTTTATCTTGGATGGATTTTCTGGTCCAGTTTCTTCCCCTCCACGTCAACATAATG